ATAATAGCAATAATAATAATAATAATATTGAACAAGAAATAAACCAGTGAAAACCTTTTTCTACTGCAAACCTTTCTTTTTTGCTAATAATAATGTTTGAGATTATATATGTTAGTTTATATAGCTAACTAGTTAGCTATCGAAACTATATATATATATATATATATATATATATATATATATATATATATATATATATATATATATATACATATATATATATATATATATATATATATATATATATATATATATATATATATATATATATATATATATATATATATATATATATATATATATATATATATATATATATATATATATAGTTTCGATAGCTAACTAGTTAGCTATATAAACTAACATTTCCAGCATTTCTTAATAAAGTTCTAGCTTCTCTCTAACTGTTGACTAATGATTGATATAGTAAATTTGACATCATATTAAATTAAAAAAATTAAAACCATATTTCGACAGTAAGCAAAATAATTAAGTGATGACAATGGCAACTAAAAAAAACAAAAACACAATCATGTTTAATTACAAAAAATAAATTAAAATCATTAAAATTTGAAACTGTTACTATGAATAGTAAAATTCATACTTTACTTTATTCTAAAGTGTCTATGTAAAATCAAGTTAATAAAAATAAATATATATATATATATATATGTATATATATATATGCATATACATATATATATGTATATACATATATATATGTATACATATATATATATATATGTATGTATATATATTATTGACATGTTTCGTAGTCTTACTATATTTTCAAAAGATTTAATTACAATTAAAACTCTGGTAAATAAATTTAAAAACTGACGACAATACAGAGAAAAAATTAACGGACAAATAAACTTGTTATAAACCAATTAAAAATTATATTACAAGTTATGAAAAAATAAACTTCTTAATATTAAAATATTAATAATAATAATAATAATATAGTAAGTTAGATAAATAAGTTTATAGTATAATGAGATGTTTGTTTATTTAAAGAACGAATTTCCCATTTAAAATGAAGGGCTTCTTTTATTTTTAATTTGTTAATGGTAGAGGCAGTATCCAAAATTTGAAATCAATCATAATTAGTTAGTGTTTTACAACTAAGGAATGAATTTAAATGTTTAAAATATGCGATTGCTTGTCACTCGTAAGGTGCTTATTCATCCTTGTTGTCAAATGTCTGGAGGTTTCTCCAATAAAACTGGCGTTACAGCCAGCACAAGAAAATTTATAGACAACATTAGGTTTAAGCATCTTAGGAAGTGGATCTTTTATGCAAAGCTGTTTTTTAATTTATAGGTTGTGAATAAAAATTTGATTATTACATTTTTACAATACCTTTAATGAATTTTTAAAACTTTTTTTGACAATATTTTATTATATTAGGAGACTCTATGAAAAGATTGAGGTGATGTTGCATCTATCCATGTCTTCTTTGAGTACCCGTCTATTTTTAAAATACTTTTATATATATTTACCATGTAAAACTCACCTGTAATTTATTTTAACAGCAAAATATAAAATAAAATTTAAAAAAAATAATAAAGAAAGAAAAAAAAAAAGATGTCTTTTTGTTGAGTAATCTAATAACTTTTGTACTTGGATTTTTATTGTCAAGTTTGTGAACATTTTAGTTTACATACTCTAAAGTCCTTAATACATAGGAGAGGTGGGAATTAAAGGTAGAGGGAAGGTGGGAGTTTTAGTCTAAAATAATTATATGTGGGGTTAATAAAAGAAGAGGGTGAATTTTTTTTTAACAATGTAATTATTTTTTATAAAAAATTTTAGTTTATAAATCCAAGTTAATATTTTTTAAAAACATGGGTAAAAATATTTAAATACAGCGTGGTCAAATGCGTATTTCCTGCTGTTTTATAATAATTTTAATTTGATTTAATGTTGATATAAGTTTAATACTTTGTTGAGAAATAAATTAAAAGCTCATTTTTTGTAAACTGAGATTTACTTGGTCGGTGATTTTTATAGCATTTTTACAATAAAAATATATTTTTATTAGTGTTGGAAATTATCATTTTCTATATATTTTTTTTTTAATTTGGAAAACAAGTAATAATTATTTAGCGCGGTGGGGATGGGGTTTTAATAAGTTTGGGATGGTCGGGAAAAGTTTCCGAAAACTAATAAACGTCCTTCTCCCCCTACTTTTATTAGGTAATCGAGATTACAATAATACTTAAATGTTATAGTTTTTGTAAAAAAAATTTCTGGTTACAATACTGCAACATTTTCGTAGATAGGTAATATAGACTATTTTACAATTTTGTGGTTATGACCAAAATTGAATATTTTATGCATTTTTAACATGATTATTTCTTAATCTGTATAGTTTGTATTTTTTAATTATTTAATTACTTTATTTGAGATCTTTAGTGGGACACTTAAAAACTTGGTTCTTTCTAAATTGCGTTTTGCTCGTTAAGAGGGTGTTTTCTTTTTGCAATTTTGAACGACCAATTGGCAGATTAGGTAACAACACATCGTGCCTCTTGTATAAGGTCTCATTTCTATTGATTTGAAATCAAAAAGAAGAAAGAGTGCAACTTTCTTACTTTTTTATTTCCTCCTAAAAAACGATGGTTCAAAAATTGAGCCACATCAAATTTATTTAAAAAATAGAAGTTGGAGAACTTGGGCTCTCTTACGCGGTGATTTTTAATAAACTTTATACGCTTTGTGATTTTCAATTTAACTCAAGGCTATACGAGAGAAAACTTTTTATCTTTTTAAACTTGTTTATAAGTGAAATGTAGCATTTCGTAGTTTTGTAGAATTCGTCTTTCTAGCACACAGAATCACTGATTTTAATTATGTTTGAAAAACAATAAGCTGTCTTAAACATGTTTTCAGACAAAGTACACAAACTTTAAATTTGAATCTTTGCTTAATTTGGCATTGTAGCAATTTATAAACCAAAATTATAAATATAAAAAATAAATTTTGCTTTTAAAAAAATAAACCTTAACTTTTACTGATCAGCAGCCGTTATCTCATCTCTCCGTTAAGCCGTATTCTCATCTCTCCGTTAAGCTTAACGGAGCTTTTGTCTGAAACTTAATTACAATATTTCTAAGTGAAGAAATGACAAAAATCTTATTTAACTTTTTTAAAATAAAACTTATTCTAAAATAAAACATTTATTTTAAAAAAATTCTATTTTTATAGAACTTTTTTTATTAATGTAGTTTAAAAGAAATTTTCTACTAAAGCTCCGTTAAACTAAACGGAGAGATTAGAATACGGCTGCAGCTCAACCAACTAAAATTCTTACAAATAGTATTACTTTTAAAATTTTAAAACCTAGGAAGTATTTACATAAATTACAAGGATATATTTTTCTGATATTTCTTTCCTCAATTAAAATAATTATTTAAATTAATTGCAAAGGTCACACTTAATGACAATTTCGACGAGATTACACTTATTTGAAGACACATTCCAAAAAACAATTTTTACTACTCTTCAAAGAACTTTTCTTCAAAAAATCAAAGAAGATGTCACTTTTCGTTACATCTTCTTTGATTTTTTCTTTTTGCTGGCTCTGCAATTATTTAATTAATTTTTAAATTTTTTTTTTTTTTTTTTGTTTTAAAACAAAATCTGTAAAAATTAGTATAAAAATTAATTTTCTCAGACTAGCCCTTTAAATCTTTTTTTGGTCAAGTATTTTACTTGCCTAATTTTTTTAAGCCAGTTTTCAAAAAAAGAGTCAATACAAAAATATTTGATCTTCTCACAGTGTTTCTGCAAATATTTTTATTTTCTAAGCAGATATCTTTAAAAAATCTTTTAACAATTTTTTAGCACTTCAATGCATTTTAAGTGTAGTTTAAACTTCAAAAAAGTTTTTTCAAAATACATAAGCTTAGTAAAACTACGATTTAAATAGCAAATCATTATTGTGGTCAAAAGAGTAACTTTTATTATACAGGTATTTTCATTGGAACATTATGAAGTCAAACTTTCACTAAAAATGTTTCATTTTAATCATGACCATCCTTATTAAATTTTTTTAATATGGGTGGTCAAAACGCGGAAAAATTTTTATGATTTTAAAATTTGCAATCAAGGTACCTTGAATTGCACGCAATTTTTCTATATAAGTTTGTGCGCAATATATGCTTGTTATATAAGTGGCGTTCTTGTTTGAGCTAAGTTGGGATTATCAGGATCCACGATAACGTGTGTCAACGACTGTTTGCAGTTGAAAATGTCTTAAAATAGTTAAAATATTTAAAATAGAACTAGAAAAATTGTTTTAATTAAAAAGGGAAAATTATAAATTCATCTGATTGAAAATATAATTTCAAAATTCATTAAAAATACCCAATTACATATATACAAATAGAAACTTAAAAGTTATTCTTGCAATAATTTCTGGCGTCACCAAATGTTTTATGTAAAGACCAATGCTACAACATACCTAATATATTTAAAACAGTTTATAAAAATAATGTTTGTGTTAATAGAACATTGGAAAAAAGCATTTAAAATCAAGAAAGCTGTACAAATAGGGGTTGCCATACTTTCGAAGCAATAGAACACTGCAAAGATACTGCCATTTATATTAATTTATTAGATACACTCCAAAACACTTGCAACTCATTATAACTACCACAAAAAAAACAGTTTTGTGGTAGTTATAATTAGTTGCAAACTAAATCTCAAGTGATACTCTGCATCTCTTGAAATTTAGTTTGCACAAACGTTTCACGATATAAAACGCTTCACGCCGCATTTGAACAGGGACATTATTTTTGGAGTTGTATCAAATAGGTGGATAACCTTTTGACAGATTTTATTTGTTTTTTTTTATTTGTTTTTTGTTTTTTTTTATGCCCCAAGAAAAACTGTTTAAAAATATTAAATAATTAATTGAGAAAAAATAGTTTAAGCATGTTTTATGTGTTCATGCCCAAATAAAAAATAATTATCAAAAAAAAAAAAAAAAAAACCTTCTGCTATTGTCATATTTAATCGGCCATTTGAAAAATTCAACAATGTCTTCTCCAACAAATTAAAAAAATTGTTACATTAAATGAGCGAAAGATAATTCGTACTATGTCTTCACTTTAACACCAGCTTCATATTTTTCTAGTTGATTATTATAAACATTGTGCATATAAATACAATAAACATACAAAAAACATAAAAAATTTAGAAATTAAAAAACTAAATAAATATATTTAAGTATTAAAATTGTATTTATAAAGTATTAAAAAAAAACAAAAAAAAAAAAAAACAATTTATTGAAAAATAAATATTTTATTTTGTATAAACTTTTAACTTTATTTAAAAAGATAATGTAAAGCAGTTTTGTTTGAATTTTTTCGAAATTTACTCAAACTTGAAATGTTGTAATAACAAAGATGAAAACTGAAACCATCTTTTAGAAAAATAAACCTGGTTTACTATTTTGCAATACCTTTGTTTTCATGACACAATTATTCAATAATTTTCTAATATTGTCAACGCTTTTAAATGTAAATATTTAAATTTACAATGAAATGCCTGTTCTAGCCCAATAAGCAACATTGGTACGGAAGGAGGCGTGAACTTCCTGTTTAATGCTCTCCCGCCGTGCTCTGTTATAAGACCGTAGGGATTTCTGGGAACGTCTAAACTAACTTAAAAAAAAAATTCGTGTAAAATGTAAATGTTGTTATTCTGAAATTCTTTACAAAAAATCAAAACTTTTGGATTTTTTGGAACAAGTTTTTTTATTTGTTAATTTTCTGAGTTTATTAAAAAAATTTCCAAAGTATATGTCTGTTATAAAAAAATTTAAAAAACTTATTTATATTTGTAAAGTTTCTAATCAAAATTACAAAAATATAATCAGGTACAGGGTCGAGGAAACATATGGGCAAAAGGAATATACGTGCATTATATGGGCATGAAGATAATATGGGCGCCAGAAAAGAAATATTAAAATTTTACCTTCTTTTGCTCATTCTAATATGCATACATGTTTTGAGTGTTTAAATAGGATACAAAGTCAACGCCTATAACTACAGTATAGTGTTTCTTGCCTCATTAACGCGTGAAGAGATAGAAAGAATTGTCAAAGACCCAGCGAACGGGTTATGTATAAGGGCATGAAATGGGCCCCATGTGGGTTAACCCTTGAATTCAATTTTATTCAAGGGTTAACCGACATCGGGCCCATTATGGGCCCTTATAAAAAACCCACAAATGACCCACTTAGACAAACATGTTTGCTGGGTTGTCTACTTTATTTATTTGGTTTTTTGTATTTTGTACATTTACAACCGCTTTTGTACTATGAAAACTTGAAGTCAAAACCATTTATTGAAAGATTTTTATACTTAAAAAAGTCTGACTGATTTTTTCTGACTGACACGAATTGATTTGTTACATTTTCAAAATTATTTATCGTATTACGCATTGTTTTTTTTTATTGCTTGAGTTTGAGCATACAGCAAGTTTAAGAATATTTTTTTAAGTTTAAATATTTAATATTCAAGTTAAAGTTATATCCTGAAATTAGAGTAATATCAGGATATAACTTTAATTTTTTAAAAAAATAATTTTTCCATCTCGCGCAAGTTGATGACATTTTTATACATTTTGAAATTTTTACAGATTGCCAAATATTTGGAGACCTGAGTGCAATATACACATGTATTATTTATATTTGACCATGTATACATGATGTGTAGAAAAAATCAAGCTCTTAGCTCTATTGCTTCATACAGCGTCAAACTATTTTTTTAAAGTTACGCGAGAAAACAGCGGTCAATTAATCAGTCACTAAAACCATATTAATAATGGCGCTAAATGATGCAACTGTCTTAACATGCTAAAATTTTGATGCAAGCTCCCTAAGAATATAGACGTAAGATTTAAAATACACATTTGTGTATTTTGGGTGAAATTTTTACTGATACCCCTGAGGAGGGGCAGTGCCCTAACTTGACTTTGTACTAATAGGGCTAACAACTCAATGTTAGTCCCATGCATAAATAAAATTTATATTATTTTGTTACAATTATAATCTTTCATTTTTGGACGGGGTTGGGATCACACATCTTCTAAACACCTCTCCTAAAATAGATTCCTAGATTAATAGATTTTAGAATGAAAATGTGAATAATTCAAAACATACAAGGAAAATGAAAGAAAGTGGTAGTAGAAAAAAATACTTCTTAGTTGGAAAACCAGTCAAGATATCCTCAGTTAGGCTGCCAACCAGGGCTAACGTTATTAAGTACATCCTCTACCTAAAGGAGAAGATTGGTCCAACTTTGTAGATAAAGCGACTTGTTTACTATCCAGGAAAAAAGTCGCTTTGTCTGCGAAGTAACAGTTTCAGGTAACTTTTTATAAAGAACTTAACGCAAATATAAATACTTTTTAAACTTTTTTTCATAGTGAGAAAATATTGCAAATAGTGTTCTTAAATATTATTCATTTAAAACTGTAAAGGTAGTTTTATTTTGTTTTTGGTATGGAACTGAGGGAAAAATTTAAAGGTAAAATATTAAGTATGGAATCTATTCTAGGTCTATGGTTAAGAAGAGCCAGCATAACAATCAGAAAGGGTATATTCAATCTGGTGCGCATTTTTTGAGATCAGTGAGAGATTATTTATAAGTCTTTCTTAAAATATTATATGTTATTACTTATTACAAATTATTGTTATCTGAAAATGTTTGAATATTTTAAAAATCAAGGTTTAATTTTCTTGAAAAGTATTAAAATGATTTTTTAAGATTAGGACTGTTCTGATTGATTAATACAAAAAAAAAGCCTGATAAAAGCTATCAAAGCAGATAGTCTTTCATCTGACAAGTATGAGAATATGCTTTTTCTGAAGGATCAGGTGGGTGAAAGGAAAATGACTCTAGCACCTATTGACAAGCAAAAAAAAGACATTAAATTAAAGGGAATGGAGCATGCAAAGAAATCAGTTACTGCTATTGGATTTACAGAAGATAAGTCTATTCCTTGTAACTTAGGAGTTACAAAACATTCATTGTTAGTATTCTCCTCAGAATCAAGTTCTGAGTCTGATTCAGAGAATGAATTCACACCTGTTTTTAAAAACAAAAGACAAGATCAGACCATTGCTGTTACTACAGAAGGTAATGAGGAAACCAAGAAAACTGCTCTGGCTTTGAATATATCTGCTCATAAAATAACTGCAACATTAACTATGCTGATTAAAGAAGCAGGAGGAGGTCCCATAGAATTTCCACTTTCCTATACCACAGCTTTTCGAATGAAAAATAATATTATCAACAAGATGCAGAAAGTATAAAGATTCTCATACAAAATGAGATTAAATATAATAATCAGAAGGTTCAGCTACACTTTGATCAAGTTTGATGGAAAGCTCGTCAAGGTTATTAAATGTGTTATCGAAAAAATAAGCAAACTAAACTGATATTTTGGAATAACCTACCTAACAATATTTCTAGGATTTGATAAAGACTCACAATAGTAAGACCTTTGACAGAATGTGCATTATTTTTAGAGCAGGGGGAACTGACCATCTCCTTGGTGCTCCAGGGTTTCTTCTGGAACATGACTAAATAATTTTATTGCTATCAAGTCAATCCGTCATATTTTGGTGTTGCCAACTCTGGTGATTCTGTCTCCAATGACATGAAGAAAAATTTGGCAAAGAAGAATATAAAGTGCCTTAGATCCAAGGCATATGACTTTGATAGAAAATTTAGTTCTGCATTTATAAAAAAATATAGGAGTTTGTTCAGCTTAGTGAGTTACCTATTCTTGCTGAATATGTACTCCTTATTCTTAGCCAGTTTTTATATGAAACATAATGAGCAGCAAGTCAAATGGCTCTTGTTTCTCTTTGCTGCATGGAAAGTTGACCCTAATTTCTTGTTTTTCCAAGCTTTTGTCAAAAACTTAGCAATAGTAAATGATGTTACATAAAGAGCTGTAAAGACAACCGTCTTAACAGCTCTCATTGCTAACGCTCAACAGAACTAACTTACCAGAAAAAGAACCTCTAGAAAATAGTTCTTGAGAAAAGTAAAGTTAATAAACCCTTTTATAGAACTAAAGCTGCTTTCAAGAAGGCTGTAATGAAACTAACTCCGGCAGGAAAGTTTAGTATCTCAGGAAAGGAAAAGGCTTTAAGTAAACAGAAGTTTTCCTTTCCAGCAACAGTGAACTTAACAGCAGTATTGATATTGTAGGAGAGAATGAAATTCTGATAGCTCTGTGGGCAGAAAATGAGGCCTTAAACAATGCTAAAACCAAAAATATTTTTTTTTGGTTTTAGCATTGTTTAACTAAAAAACTTTTTTAATTAAGTTTTAATGATTATGCTGAAAGTACATGAAAGGACAAAAAAAGAATATAAAATCCCTACCCCTTTTTTGGAGAAATGAGAATGGGAAAGTCTACAACTTTCCTCCCCCTCCAATGCCATTTTTTTAATTTTTTTTTATTCTTTAATCTTTAAAAAGTCGTAATATATAATGTAATCGTTTACAGAGTATAGTAAAAACAAAAAAATAATCACGAAGTTATGTTATACAAAAAATGTATAAAATAAACTGTAAGGTATTACAAATTACTTTAAAGAACGCGAAAAACTTGCAGAAGACCATTAGTCTTGTCATCAATAAACCAATAAGCGTTACTAATATTTTTGGTTACATCAATTTAAAATTTAAGTGTAAATTTATTTTTTCAGATGTTAAGCAAGACTATTGCGTTATATCTGAAACATATATAACGCAATTGAACTCATTGGACATAATATAAACGAGTTGAAAAGTTAGGCAAAGATAAGATGGGGTAGCATTTATTGTCCGCAGGACAACAAAAAAATAATGCATGAAAAAGTAAAAAAGACAATTAATACTGCAAAGCGAAGTATTTAAAAACTGGAATGCTCATCTATGTTAATTTACGGTGGCCTAAGCATCAGGCAAGTTGCATTAGCAACAGTTGCTTATGTGCAAAATGAGCATTAAAGTGTTATATTATTCCAACAATGTCTAAACATGAACTTTCTAACACAAATGGTAACGTTCCATACTTATAGAAGAAATTAAGAAAAAGAGCTAAGAAGCACACTTGACTTACTTATCAAAGACGAACTTTGACCCAAATACTTAG